GCTGCACAGGAAGCGTGGTGCTGACATCTGCTCAGCTTCTAGGGAGGCCTCAGGAAGGTTACAATCATGGTGGAAGGTGAAAGGGGAGTAGGCATGTCACACGGTGAAAGCTGGAGAAGAGGTGGGAGGGGCCATGCATGCTTAAGTGGCCAGATCTCATGAGAATTCACTCACCATTGCAAAGACATCACTGAGCTATGAGGGATCCACCACCATGACGTAAATACCTCCCACCAGACCCCACTTTCAGTACTGGGGATTACCATTCAACATGATATTTGAGCAGGGAGAAATATCCAAGCTCTATCATTCTAACCCTAGCCCCCCTCCCCCAAATTTCATGTCCCTCTCACATTATAAAACATGATCATGCCTTCCCAATAGTCCCCTAAAGTCTTAACTCATTCCAACATTAACTCAAAAGTCCAAAGTCTCATCTGAGACAGTAAAGTACCTGTTTACCAATAAGCCTGTAAAATAAAAAAAAAAAAGTTATTTACTTCCAAGACACAGTAGATATACAGGCAGCATTGGGTAAACATTCCCATTCCGAAAAGGATACGTTGGCAAAAGAAAGACACTACAGACCCGATGCAAGCAAAACCTAGCAGGGCAGTCATTAAATCTTAAGGCTCCAAAATAACCTCCTTTGACTCCATGTCTCACATCCAGGGCACACTGCTGCAAGGGGTGGTCTCCCAAGGCCTTGGGCAGCTCTGCCTCTGTGCTTTGCAGGGTTCAGCCCCCAAGGCTACTCTCACCAGCTGGAGTTGGATGCTTGTGGCTTTTCCAGGTATACAGTGCAAGCTGGCGGTGGATCTACCATTCTGGTTTCTGGAGGATGATGGCCCCATTCTCACAGCTTTACTAGGCAGTGCCCCACTGGGGACTCTGTGTGGGGACTCCAACCTTGCATTTCCCTTGGCACTGCCATGGCAGAGGTTTTCTGTGAGGGCTCTGCCCCTGCAGCAAGCTTTTGTCTGTGCACCTAGACTTTCTCATACATCCTCTGAAATCTAGGTGGAGACCACCAAGAGTTCTTCATTTTTACATTCTGTGCACCTGTATGCTTAACACCACGTAGGAGCTGCCAAGGCTTATGTTTTCCAAAGTGGCCGCCCAAGCTGTACCTGGGCCCCTTTGAGCCATGGCTGGAGCTGAAGCAAGTGCAATGTGGGGGGCGGTGTCCCAAGGCTGTATAGGGCAATGGATACTCTGGGCCTGACCCATGAAACCATTCTGCCCTCCTAGACCTCTGGGCCTATGATGGGAGGGGCTCCTGGGTAGGTCTCTGAAATGCCTCCAAGCCTTCTTCCTCATTGTTTGGATAGCAGCACTTGGCTTCCCTTTAGTTATGCAAATATCTCCAGCAAGTGGTCGTTCTGCAGCCTGCTTAAATTCCTCTCCTTAAAAAGCTTTTTCTTTCTGTGCCACATGGCCAGGCTGCAGATTTTCCAAACTTTTACACTCTGCTTCCTATTGAAATATAAGTTTCAACATTAGGTCATTTCTTTGCTCCCCCATCTGAGGTAGGCTGCTAAAATTAGCCAGGCTATCTCTTGAACACTTTGCTGCTTAGAAATTTCTTCTGCCAGGTGCCCTAAATCATCACTTTTTAGTTCAAACTTCCACAGATCCCTAGAGCATGACCAGAATGTAGCCAAGCTCTTTGCTAATCACAACAAGGGTGACTTTTGCTCTAGTTCCCAGTAAGTTCCTCATTTCTGAGACCTCAGAATCCCGGGCTTCACTGTCCATATCACTATTAGCATTTTGGTCACAACCACTGAACTCTCTCTAAGACATTCTAAGCTTTCCCTCATCATCCTGTCTTCTTTTGAGCCCTCCAACGTCTTCCAACCTCTGCCTATTACCAAGTTCAGAGTTAATTTTACATTTTCAGTATCTTTCTAGCAATGCTCCACTCCTTGGTACGAATTTTCTGTGATCCAAACACCTCGCATGAGGCCCCATCTCCAGCAGTGGGGATTACAATTCAATATGAGATTTGGGTGGGGAAAAATATCCAAACTGTATTGCTAAGTAATATTTAGATAACTTTAAAGGATTTTAAAACATATTTTAGGCATTTTGTACTGTTTTCAAGATGACACTGTCCTTTATCCCTAGCTAATCATGTAAAAGAAATGGTCCTCTTTGTTTTAAAATTTGTTATGTGTAGAAATGGACTATAAGGAGAAAGAAAACAGGATAGGAGTTATTTGCTGGGGAGGAATCATTCATGAGAGTCCTCTCATGTTTTCTTAAGAGTTTAGGGCCGGGCGCGGTGGCTCAAGCCTGTAATCCCAGCACTTTGGGAGGCCGAGGCGGGTGGATCACGAGGTCAAGAGATCGAGACCATCCTGGTTAACATGGTGAAACCCCGTCTCCACTAAAAATGCAAAAAATTAGCTGGGCATGGTGGCGCACGTCTGTAGTCCCAGCTACTTGGGAGGCTGAGGCAGGAGAATTGCTTGAACCCAGGAGGCAGAGGTTGTGGTGAGCCGAAATC